CCCTAATCTCTAAGAATTTTTCGATTGCTTTCAGATCCACCTTAGATCTATGCTTGCCATGAACTTTTTAAGTGCCTCTCGAAGTTTCTTTGACCTTTCTTTCAAAATGACTCTTCACTTTCCGATTAGGGTTTTCCTTCAAGTTTTTCTTTTCAAAATCTCTTCTCTGATTTTAACGTGTCTGTGATTTTTCTATGTCTTGCTCATGTTGTTCTCCTATCTGAGTTATCATGTTGAAAACCCTAATTTCTTTTGGGGTTCATTCGAATTCTGAAACTGTTTGCTAGCACTTGTTTGATTTATTTGTTTATCACCTTTTAAAATCGATTGTTGTTGAAACCCTAGGTCTTTGGGCCTAAAATTGTTTGTTTGAGTACTTGACTCGACTGGAAGCTTTTGTTTTAGACTTTCTCTTTTCTTTATGTGACTCATCTGATTTTTTTACTATCTTTCAACTCGACTAGGGTTGAAACCCTAACTTTTTAAAAGGGGTTTCCTCACCTGCTATTGTGAAACCTTTGCATATTTCTGATGCTCTGTTTTCTTCCCTGTGACTCGACCTACTTGATTACTATGCTTCGAATGTTTGCTTTACTACTAAACCCTAGCTTATTTCTGCCACTACTGCCTGTTTGTGATTTTATCAATAAGTTTGGCCTCGCATGTCTGATGGCCTTGTTCACTTTATTTATATGCTGAAGTTTCTTCCTTGATTGATCTTCATCTTGTGACTGATTTCTTAAGTTCCCTTTTATGAACCCTGATTTCACTCGCCCGTTCAAATTGATTGATTTCTTCCCCTTTACTATGATACTTTGCCTTACTGAATCTTTTCCAAAATAAGTATATTTCTGTACCTAGACTTGATTACTTACTTAATGCTTGTACTACTTCTTTTATGGCAATAATCAGTCTATCTCTAAACTGATCTCTTTCCTTATTTGAATCTTTTACTACCTGTTAGACAAGTGATTGCTTAATTAAAGGGAATCACTTGTATAATTGATTCTAACTGTTGATTGTTTTCATATTTGTACAAAAACTTTACTTATTACCTCTCCTTCTCTCGTTTTCAAAAAGCTATATATACCCTGCACCCCTCTTCTTTCAAAGACACGAACAACAAGGAACGAAACACTTGAGTTCGGAACACACACCTCACTAAAAACTCTCTCTCTTCTATGTTACTACTTGTGTTGCTGCCTGACCTAGCCGGCTGAAAGACAAGGCTAGGCTGTGGGAAATTTGCTTACTTTTCTTTCTGCATTTGCTCCTTTACTGGTATGTTCTAATTAATTTTCCAGCATCGACAACAACATTTTTCTTTACTATTTCTTTCGCTCTTGCATGTTTCCTCTTGTGTTTAATCAAGTTCCATTACTGAGCATACTGTAATTTGCCCCTTTCTCTTCTGAATTAATGTTTTCTTATGTATGAACTCTGTCAGTCACTTATTATGACTTATGAATCCCAAACCCCCATATCCCCTATGTGTTTTTATTCCTTTGTTGGTTTGGGGGCATGTCAGCGTTAGACATTGCTGTGCATGACCCCAAACCTGACCCCTCCTTAGGGTCATATGCTTCACATCCCCTCTATGTGTTGTGTTCTCTGGCTGGTATATGGGCACGCTAGCACCATGTATTGCTGTGCATGCCCAAGCCTGACCCCTTCCAAGGGTCATATGCCCCCTACAATGTATTCCCAAACCCCTGACCCCTTGTGCAAAAAATGTTGATTCTGGGTAGTGTTAGCTTTACTACTACTGTTTCCAATTACTTTTCCCCTTTACTATTCTCATCCTAGTTTTAAACAAATCCCTGTCTTTGCACTTCCACTATACTCTTAGACTTAGGTTCTGCCCCTCTTGTGTGAGCCTTGCCTTGGGACCCATGAGCTCCCTCTGAACTTGGACACATAAGGGCTGGCCCTTCCACACTGCACTCATCGCTATCTGGTTATGCAAACTTGTGTGTAAGCACTGCCCGAGGTCCCTTGAGACCCTTAGGGAACTTTGACACACCCAGGTCTGAGAAAGGCTTTGAAACAAGTGGCGTTTGAGGTGATTTATTCCATAACTCAGAGAGGAAGTCAGAATCAGGCTTCCTATGGTTGTAACTTCTTATTTTCACACTTTTCTGATGTAATTCAGTACTTGGTCTGTCATAATTTGAAATAAACATTGGGGTTGGTTAGTGAAAAAGGCTGGGTAATTATGCATGTTTAACAATTAGAAGGGTAGAGAACATGCCTATAGGACCTGTTTTTTGTATAATTAATTCAGCATTTAGATAATATGCCTATAGGATTTTTAGCCCGCATGTTTAATTCTGCATTTAGATAACATGCCTATAGGATTTGACCCAAATTCTTCATGTTTATTACCACACTTAGACACCATGCTCCTAGGATCAAAAGGGTTACAATCAGACATCATGCTCATAAGGTTAAAATTAGTATTTTTTAGAAATCATGCCTATAGGAATCTCAAGTAAACCCTGCCTGCTTCATTTCACGTTCGACTAGATATCATGTCTATAGGAATTAAAAATCAGCAATAGTAGAGATCATGCCTATAGGATCTGAAACCAGTCTAGTTTAAAATCAGTTTGACTCATACTGTTCTGAACTAATTTTTTTAGAACAACTCTCTCTTCTTAATACGGTTTAGAAAGCATGTCTATAGGATCTCAAATCGTTTATTTTAGAACTGTTACTGCTTTGCCATTTTCAAATCGGTAATAGATATCATGTTTATAGGATCTCACACAAACACTTAGGCAAGCCTTAGGTAATAACAATAAAGACTGAACCTGCCTTTGTTAATCAGTAATTGCTATAACCAGCAGGCAGGCCTGATTCAGACTTCTTATTTGAGTTATGTAATAAATTGGTTTGCTTCAACAACTAAAACTCCCCTGTCTCAATATTTTAAATTCTGACCTTAAATGTGTTTTAAGTTATGCTATTTATGTGTTCTATTTGAGGAGGTATATCTGAGCCTCTTTGTTGTTTATATGTTTTCCCCTTTAAATGCAGTCCAACATATTTTTGTATGTCGCCTTAGCCTTTTGCCTTTAAACCTAAGAGTCAGCCTGAAGTCCTCCCTCTTATAGGAATAGTAGTCCTAAATTCCTCCGGGACTGATAGGAATGGGACGGGTAATAGCATGCAATAGAGGTCGAGACCAATCCGCGCTTTAATGCCTTAACGGGGTGGGAAGGGTAGATATGGATATGATGGCCGGTGCGCTAATACCACGTGTAGCCCCTCTTTAGAGGAGTGATTACCGGGTATTGCATTGATGTGATCCATATTACAAATAAACCTAGGACCCTTCTTGTATTCGTCAGCATGTTTAGTTATAACTCTTTCAAAACTTCGTTTTATTTATGTATTCAAAATCCCCTCTTATTTGAGCCTTATCTGTTTACTTGCTAATTGCACAAATTCACAAAGAACTGTCTGGCGGGGAACCACACTAGTGGATCCTGAGGGGTGGCTAACACATTCCCCTTGGGATAATTTCAAGCCCTTACCCTATCTCTGGTTATCAAAAAATGTAGTTGTAGCTGAACCTTATAGGTGTACTAATGCATCCTAAATCATTAGGTGCCGACTCTTCAAATACAAAACCTAGTTCCCAAATGGAATGAATTGTCCTATGCCCAAAATGTCATAAACCCGATTTTCCGATGCAAAGAGGGAAAAAGGGGGCGCGACATAGGTATGTAGCTTCTTCATCTGAGATCATTCATGTTGACATTCATAAATGAAATATGATATTTGTTCTTGTTAGCTTTGTGTTTATTGCACCTAGTTTGTCAGCCTTAAACTTGTTTGAGTTCTCATTTGTTATTCAATGTGTGGTGCTACAAAAACTGTTGCTTTGAATCTCCCAAACCGTTATTCTATATTAAAATGATATTTGCTATTTTTGTCCTGCTTACACTTAGTCTTGCATCATGAGCTATGATGGGTTTTGACCACTTTTTATTGGTATTACTGATTGTTTTCTCTTTACTCTTTTGAATGTATTGTGCTAATAAACTACTCTTCACAAAAAGTTTCTTATTTTCTTGATTGTATATGGAGTTGTAACAAGAAAGGGAAAGCTTTGAGATCCTTTGGTTTGGAACAAAAGATGCTAATTTGCAAAGCAGCTCTATAGTTGCCTTTGTAATTCGAGGCCCCTTTTTTGAAAGTTTATAGCAAGTGAAAGAGCCCAGAACCATGTGGGGTATTCTGTTGATATAACAAATTTTCTTTAAGCATATAGTCATATCTAAGATGTGTTGTAACTTAAATCAGGGACTGTTAACTAATGAACTGATTTTTGTATAGAATTAGTATGGAGTATATTGTAATAATATTTTAAAGTTGATAGCTATGGTCAATAGTTGTGGTTTATAGTATCTTAATGAAGTTTATGTTCAGTAATCCATTGTTATAAACAACATGTTCTCTCAGATNTATATATATATGTCTCTCTCTCTCTCTCTCTCTCTACATTGTTATTTTCCCTATATTTATAGGGCAAAATTCAAAAATAACCAGATTTACAAGTGGTAATTGAAAAATAGCCATAGTTTTAAAAGTAATCGAAATTTAGCCACTTTTCATGTAAAGATAAATCTGAACGAAAATACTGTTCAAAATCCGAAAAATATTCCAGCATAATATACTGGAGTTCAAATTTTTTACATGTGAACTTCCAGCATAATATACTGGAACTCCAGCATAAACAGGTGCTCCAATCTCGGTATATTATGCTGGAACTTTCTGTGTGCACTGTGCTGGATTATGCTGGAAGTTCATACACAGGTGCACCAATTTAAGGTATATTATGTTGGAACTTTCCGTGTTGCAACAAAATAGTAACTATTTTTCAATGACATTGCAAACGCTGGCTATTTTTTAATTACCATTTCGAAAATTGGCTAGCCTGTGCTATTTTTACGTATTTATAGCTCAATGAAGTTCCTTTGGGCTTGGTGCAGCTAGGTGGGCCTACTTGGACTGTCCAATTAGGTAGAAGAGATTCTACAACAGCAAGTTTAAGTTCAGCAAATAGTGATATCCCTTCTCCTTTGATGGATCTTAGTGATCTTATTACTAATTTTGCAAATAAAGGCTTCACTGCTAAAGAAATGGTTGCCCTTGCAGGTAATTAATAACTCTTTTATTTTCCAGTTTTAAAAACATTTTGTGTAATTTATTATCGTTTTAGAAATATTTGGGAATGCATACTTGGGCTCGAATAGAACTGATTAAGCTGGTTTAAGCATTTTTTCCCTTATTTACTTGTTTGGTAGATACCAAACTTATAAATTAAGTACTCTCAACTTATGATTTTTCCACTTATAAATACTTTTACTTTAATCAAGATTTTTATTAGTTTATTTCTTATATCTTTTATAGTTTTTTAATCCACTCTCCATTTTATTTATATCGTTCTTCTTTCTCCTTATAAAAATACTGTTTATATTAGTTTAAATAATTTCGAAGAAATCTTGGTCATACTAAGAGAGAACTTTACCAAATATATCAATTGTTTATTATCTCTTTCAATAAGTCAGAATACATAATTGCTTATTTATATAATTGCGTTCAGCATTATGCTCATGAACTATTTTTAATCAACTAAGCCAAACATGTTCTAAACATAAAAATTCAAAAATTAAGAAATCTTGGTCATTCTAAGAGAAAATATTTATCAGCATACTTTTACTGAATATATCATCAATTGTTTATTATCTCTTTCAGTAATTCAGAATACAGAGTTGCTTATTTATACAATTAGTTTCAGCACTATGCTCATAAACTAATTTTAATCAACTAAGCCAAACATATTCTAAATACAAAAATTCGAAAATTAAGAAATCTCGGTCATTCTAAGAGAAAAATATTTATCAACATACTTTTATCAAATATATCAATTGTTTATTTTCTCTTTCAATAATTCAGAGTACATCATTGCTTATTTATACAATTAGTTTCAGGCACTATGCTCATGAAGTATTTTTAATCAACTAATCCAAACATACTCTAAATACAAAAATTCGTATATTCAAATCCCCAATTCTTTTCAGGGGTGAAGTTTAGTTGATTTATTTATTGATTTATCTCGAAAAATTTCCAGGTGCTCACACCATAGGTCAAGCACAATGTACAACATTTAGGGAACGTGTGTACAACGAAACAACCATCGATTCATCGTTGGCTACATCGTTGAAATCAAGTTGTCCGAGTACAGGTGGAGATGACAGCCTTTCTGCACTTGATGCAGCCACCCCTGCAATATTTGATAACCATTATTTCAAGAACTTAGAGAAAAATAAAGGGATTCTTCACTCGGACCAACAACTATTTAGTGGTGGTTCTACGGACTCTCAGGTTACTACTTACGGTACTCGTCCTATAACATTTGCTGCAGATTTTGCAAAGGCTATTGTCAAAATGGGAAACTTAAGCCCACTTACTGGAACCAATGGCCAAATTCGTACTAATTGCAGGAAAATCAATTAAATCAAAAAGGGGCGTAGAAACGCATAAGAACTCTTGAACGAAAACGAGACATAAATCCAGTTTCTTCAGAATCACTAGGAAATCCTATTTTCGATAGGGACATTGAGTCTGATTTTATTCTGTGTGCACCTAGTCAAGATTGTCGTAGTAGTAATATATATGTTCTTGTGAATGAACCCAAGTTTGTAACGTGTTTGTATTTTCTTTTAATTTAAGAGCAACTGTTTGTGAGAATAAATAATTTACACTTGTGTTGAAATTAGTACTTCCATTATTGGCCATCACTTTTTTTCCTTGTATTAAAATTCCATAGTTGACTGAAAAATATTGCTCAAGGGGCTACCAGAGAGTATTATTTTTCAACTATGAAAAGTTAAGGGGTTAAAGTAGAAAATATATGTCGGGTGTGCGAACAAAGTCCCACATTGGTAACTGAAAAGATTGAAAGTCTACATATAAGGTGTAGGGATCTTGGTGCGAGGCCTTATGGGGAAAACCGTGTGGGCTTGGCCCAAAGCAGACAATATCACACCATATTAAGAGTGTATTTGGGCTAGTTTAGCCCAACAATTGGTATCAGAGCCCAGGTTCAGCGGAACGAGTATGGAGATGACGGAGTGATAGTGCGGGGCCGCTTGCACACAAGCAGAAGCTAGTTGCGGGCTTCGGGTGCCATAATACTCTAATAAAGTGGGTGGCACACAGTAATCTCGAAAATTGACCCGTGGATCGTGGTAGTGGGCCACGTGGAACATAGTTCGAGGTGGAGATTGTTGGGAGTGCGAGCAAAGTCCCACATTGGTAGCTGAAAAGATCGAGAGTCTACATATAAGGTGTAGGGATCTCTTCGAGGTGGAGATTGTTGGATGTGCGAACAAAGTCCCACATTGGTAGCTGAAAAGATTGAGAGTCTACATATAAGGTGTAGGGATCTCTTCGAGGTGGAGATTGTTGGATGTGCGAACAAAGTCCCACATTGGTAGCTGAAAAGATTGAGAGTCTACATATAAGGTGTAGGGATCTCTTAATGGTGTGAGGCCTTTTGGGGAAAACCGTGCGAACTTGACCCAAAGCGGATAATATCACACCATACTAAGAGTGTATTTGGGCTAGTTTAGCCCAACAATATCCTCCATTTCTTTTCAGCAACTGATAAGCTTCTAATTGATGCTTTTAAAATTGTTTATTTTACAAACTAATAAAAAGTCAGATTAGTTTTCAGTTGACAATTCCAATATCTTGAGATTGAAGAACAATAAGAATAATCTTGACAAAGAAAGGAGAAATAAAATAAAGATGACTCGACCCCTGATTTAGCACATACTCTATAATTAATAATATCTCCGCCTAAGCTGTTCTTCTGCCATTCATCTAAGTTGACTCACAATATGAAATTATTTAAAATATGGCCATATTATAAAAGCTGCCTATTTTTCAAGACAAAATGCGAATCTTACTTAATGACTGCATTGAAACTAATTAATGACCCATGTGATGACTTGATAATATGAACAGTGTCGGCCTAATTTTACACTAAATAACCGTTCATCTAATTTCTTAAATTAAAAATACTTGACTGAGTGACTGGTATATAATTTATGTATATCGGCTAGACAAAGTAAATCTTGAACCTGACCGGCTATTTGTGTAAACATATATTACAGTTATAGAATTCCTGACTGATCCAAATTAAACCCTCTTTACTTTGATGAACTAATTATATAGTGGAGCCGTACTAAATTCTATATCATGCTCGTTTTACAAGAATAAAATCTCGGAAGTTAGAAATAAAAAAATATTTTTGTGTTCTTCCCCTTATTGCCAATAAGTTCATCAAGGAAGGACAAATTATTAAATACTAATGCAAAAGAGATCCAAGTTGGGGGAGTAAATGATACTTAGAAATCATTTACAATAGTTTGATATTGAGGATTATAATTGTTGACATTTTATTGTATAGATGACAAAAAATTCCCATCGTTTTTTTTTTTCAAATTAGCAATTTTTTTTTTTTGGTACTTGCCAATTTAGAAAAATCAGTAGAATAGCCAGCCTATCATCTATATCATCCTACTATGTTGATGAGCTCCACGCGCCAAGAAAATGCAACCACGTAGTCTAAAAAAGACAATACAACTAAATTTAGGAAATAAAAGATAATTACTTCCATTTTAATTGATACATATAAAACTAACTAGTACTCAACACTTAGTAATTTTCCAAACTGAGGAAAATGTGAGTTTGAGATTCTTTTCATCGTTTACTTCCTTCAATATGCAATCATCAAATCAAAACTCAAATATGGGAAATCTAACATTATAAGATACTAATAGGGGTTTAGCTGCCTAAAGTTTATTTATGGTCACTAGTTTAATTTGTCTTGACATCAAAAAGAAATTTCATTTGCTTAAGGAATCTCTCGAGAGTTGCAAAATCTTTATGATTCAATTTAGCAAATCTTCTAAATTCTTTCTTTTAATTCTTTATCATTATTCGGTAGAAGACAAGATTACTAAATAAGTTATTAGATTCCGTTGAAAATTTTGCAAACATATTCTAAAGTTACACGAGTATATATATTTTAAACTTATGAAAAACACTTTTTTCTCAGATATGTCAATGGTATTCAGATTAGTTTGCACATTTCGACAAATTCACCAAATACCTGTTATCTCTAACTAGCACCTTTTTTCTGGTCCCTTACGTTTCAAATTACTTCATTAAGAATTTCTTCAACATGCGTCTCACAATGTAAATTAGCAAAAGAAGAAACGTTTAATACACATTATCAATGAAAGCTAGTGATTACAAATTTAACCAAATTAAGCTACAAAATAAAATGTGCTTATATATGCGGATGATGTTATAAATAAGGCATTAAACAAAGCAAAAGGGACTATCTTAATAGTTACGGAACTGCTGCCATTACGCAAATGAGATATTATCAAATTTCTGATCTGATCTCAAAGAAAAGGAGGAGACCACTCTACGTTTCCATAGACCATAGCTTGCATAAACATATACGGATATTAGTAATGGATTAAAACGTTATTAAAAATGAAAAAACTAACTTTAATAATAGTAAAGAAACTTTTATGTTGTTTAAGAAGAAAACATACATTTAAATTATACAATGTATACTGCTACTTTTTAATACAATCAGAGCTCACCCCAACTTTCCAGTAAATTCGCCTCTGGAAACTTTTAAGATTTCCATAGCCAGACAACCAAACTAGATTATTTTTGTGGGAACAATTATATATTGCAGGCAAAACCCTAAGGAAACAAAGGATAATTTTGTTATGCATGTATGTCAAATTAAACTTTGCAAGAAATGTCTCTTCTAGATACAAAAACAAACATGTGTTCGATCACAGGAGCAGGTAACTAACACAAGAAATAAATCAATGAATTTGTTCCCAAAAATTTCAACAACACAAATAATTCATCGAAATCTCAAAAAAGCTCTCCATGTTATCGCCACAAATGGACATATAAGAAATGGTTGAACTAATTCTATATATATAACACTCTAATTTGTGACATGAAAATTGTGAACTAAAATTTCCAAATGATTCTCCTCAATACTAAAAACAATTCTGTTTCATGTGACACAGTTAATTACTGGTCAAAATACGATATGCTATTATTGTGAATGGCGGCACTAAAATTTGCCCCCGCACTAGAAGGGGGCGTATACAAAGACGAAACGGAGGAAGTGGAAGAAGAGGAGGAGACCACCACCACAGACGGCAGTGGCGGCGGCGGTGGCGGCGGAGTAGGAGGAGCTTGGGGCAGCTGATCAGCGACGGACGTGGAAATAGATGCTATAAGACTATTGGCGGCTTCTCTATATTTGTATCTGAGAATCTCAGACCTAATTGCATTAAGCTCAGCTTGTAAAGTTTGAAGTTGTTGTTGTAAAGTTGAAATTGCACCCATGCATCCGTACACTGGATCCCTTAGCCTCACATTTGCTTCATATACCAAACTATTTGCTGCATCTGCTCTTTGCCCCACTGGTACCTCCTAATCAATATTTTCACACACACACACAAAAAAAAATTACCCAAAAATTTAGAGAAACGGGTTTAACTGTGAAATATATTAAAGAATTTTTTCACTATTAGGTAAGATAACAATAAGTAACTTATATTTAGTGCGACTAGTTATCACCTGAAAGAGTTTAACTTTTGTATAATAAAAATTTTTATAAATTGTTTGTACCATCATAATAAAGTTACATGATATAGTAGATAGCCTAATTTGCTAATCTTGTAAACTAGAACAAATTATAACTAGTTAGAATACATAAATGGAGGTGTAAAAAATTTTCATACTATTGGTGCATCTAATTGAAATTTACCTAAAGAAAATAAGACAAGGAACCTTCTATAAGAAATTAAAATACACTAAAATCTGAGGTTCTTCACACCATCAGTGCATGTGCATATGTTAAATCTTAAAGAAAAAATATAGAAGGACAAAGGACAAATTGTAAATTTGAGTAGCAATTTGTTTATGGAATTATTTGAAAGTGATTGTTAGACAAATAGCCGGTCAAATTCTTAGTTTAGTTTCTCATGCCGGTATACATATATTATGCATACATCGATTATTTTTAGTTTAAGAGATTATTAGGTGAGTCGCTATTTGGGTTAATTATTCTATTTGGGGAAATGGTCACATACCAGGAGCAACTTGGAAACATTGCTAGCACCAAAGACTTTATGAACAGCAGCAAATTTCTGGGGTTCATGTGGGGAAAAATAAGGAGAAAATGGGCATTCCTCAGCACATCTTCTTCTTAAAAGTTTACAAGCAGCACAAGGTGTAATTGTGTTTAAGGTTGTTCCTACTGTAGGCCCCAATATCTGTCTTCTTCCCATTTGTTGTTGCATATGTAGCTGTGAAGATGCATCTATCTCTGTCTTTAATTTCTTCCCAATCTCATCCAATCTCTCCCTATTCACACCAGTAAAAGACAGCGACGGAGTCAGGATTTTCACTAAAGGTATCAAAATACAAAAAAAGGTAAATACACGAAGAAAACAAGAAGATTAATTCAACATATAATATATGCATAAAACAAATTATCTATCTACACAGTATGGTGAAGGAGTGTCAACACTTATTAGACCTAATTGATCTAGTTTCTTAAAAGGTACAAAGATAAAAGAAGTAATTATATTTGACCATGTAAATAACAACAACAATCAGTACAAGTGCGGGGTCTGGAGAGGATAGTGTGTGCGCAGACCTTACCCCTACCCCGATGGAGTAGAGAATTTGTTTCCGATGAACCCTCGACTCAAGAAAATGAAAAAGAGGAAAAGAGACAATATATCAGTACCATGTAAATATTAAGTTTAATTACCTTTCTCTTGACATTCAAGAACACCTCAAGGTAGCTCCTTTGATGGAAGATAAATTGGAAATATGAAGATTGAGTAATAAGAGGGAGAGAGGAAAGGATCAAGAAAGAAGAGAAGGGGTGCTTATATTAGAAGGCAAGACAATTAAGGTTAACAGAGATATTTAATGTTCTATCAGAAGAATTAAAAAAAATATATAGCTTACTCTATATTAAAGACGGTGAAAAATTAATTTATTAAGAGAAGTTTCTGATGAAGAGACAATTAAAAAAATGAAAGAGAGAGAAGTGCCAGCCGAGTCAAAGCTATCCCACGTGTGACTAATTGCACCTATTGACTTTTGAAGATAACCAACTGTGGTTTGCTTGATTGCTTCACACACGTTGCTTCACTTCATTTTCTTATTTACAACTTTTTCAATAGACGTCTATATTTCAATCATTTAAATAAAAAATAGACGTTCAATCATTTAAATAAAAAATAGCCAATGAATATATAATATATGAATAATTATATAGTAATCAATGTATAATTTATATGTACTCGCCAGAAAATGCAGAGGGTGAATCCGACTTACTATTTGTAGAAAAATCCCCTATATTTAACCAAAGAAAGTGATGATTAAGTGATAAACAAAAGATGACTTATAGCCTTTTGCTCAAGCTTCTCCAACCTAGAAGCATTTTTTTTTCAAAGTTGAAGTGTTTGGCCAAACTTTTGGAAGAAAAAAAAAACTTTTGAGGAGAAGCAGAAAAATAGCTTCTTTCCAAAAACATTTTTTTTTTAAAGCACTTTTGAGAAGAAAAAAAAAATACACTTAGAATCAGTTTGTATTTCCATTTCAAAAAAAAAAGTAAAAAATAAAAATTGGGCTGCGCTGTATATATGAAAGAGTATACAATAATGATGTATTTGGCAAATCAAATACCATGGTCTAATAATCAAACATTCTGATTAGTTGATAATATTAGTATTAGTTGGAAATTTTGTGAAAGATTCCTGTGAAAAGTTTCATTAGCGCGGAATTCGTGTCGAGTAGACCTTGTAATTGTGAGAATTCTTAATTCATGAGTTGTAGGGAGGGATTTATGTCACCGCAAACAGAGACTAAAGCAAGTGTTGGATTCAAAGCTGGTGTTAAAGAGTACAAATTGACTTATTATACTCCTGAGTACCAAACCAAGGATACTGATATATTGGCAGCATTCCGAGTAACTCCTCAACCTGGAGTTCCACCTGAAGAAGCAGGGGCCGCGGTAGCTGCCGAATCTTCTACTGGTACACGGACAACTGTATGGATCGATGGACTTACCAGCCTTGATCGTTACAAAGGGCGATGCTACCGCATCGAGCGTGTTGTTGGAGAAAAAGATCAATATATTGCTTATGTAGCTTACCCTTTAGACCTTTTTGAAGAAGGTTCTGTTACCAACATGTTTACTTCCATTGTAGGTAACGTATTTGGGTTCAAAGCCCTGCGCGCTCTACGTCTAGAAGATCTGCGAATACCTCCTGCTTATGTTAAAAGTTTCCAAGGTCCGCCTCATGGGATCCAAGTTGAAATAGATAAATTGAACAAGTATGGTCGTCCCCTGTTGGGATGTACTATTAAACCTAAATTGGGGTTATCTGCTAAAAACTACGGTAGAGCTGTTTATGAATGTCTTCGCGGTGGACTTGATTTTACCAAAGATGATGAGAACGTGAACTCACAACCATTTATGCGTTGGAGAGATCGTTTCTTATTTTGTGCCGAAGCAATTTATAAAGCACAGGCTGANTTTGCTATTTTTGTCCTGCTTACACTTAGTCTTGCATCATGAGCTATGATGGGTTTTGACCACTTTTTATTGGTATTACTGATTGTTTTCTCTTTACTCTTTTGAATGTATTGTGCTAATAAACTACTCTTCACAAAAAGTTTCTTATTTTCTTGATTGTATATGGAGTTGTAACAAGAAAGGGAAAGCTTTGAGATCCTTTGGTTTGGAACAAAAGATGCTAATTTGCAAAGCAGCTCTATAGTTGCCTTTGTAATTCGAGGCCCCTTTTTTGAAAGTTTATAGCAAGTGAAAGAGCCCAGAACCATGTGGGGTATTCTGTTGATATAACAAATTTTCTTTAAGCATATAGTCATATCTAAGATGTGTTGTAACTTAAATCAGGGACTGTTAACTAATGAACTGATTTTTGTATAGAATTAGTATGGAGTATATTGTAATAATATTTTAAAGTTGATAGCTATGGTCAATAGTTGTGGTTTATAGTATCTTAATGAAGTTTATGTTCAGTAATCCATTGTTATAAACAACATGTTCTCTCAGATTAGTCGAATGGGGACCATATGAGATGGGCCAGACTTGTAACTTGGCCCAATCGGGGAATTACCTGACCATATCGTGACTATGGGTACGGTTCCCGTAATATAGTTATGATACATAATTCCTCAAATTTGGGTACACATTTCATGTGACCCGACTACAACTTCAAACAATAATAAAATATACATGTTGTAGATTGTGGGTACGGTTCCTGTGACATGATTTGCAATATGTACAAAAATAAACAAGTGTACGACAATCGTAACTGGTTCCAGAAACAACTCCATAAATAATTAAAAGCGGTATAAAATTAAAAATGCACAATAGGTTTAAAACATGTAATAGATCAGATAATTAGGCCAATTATTAATAGCTAAGCGACCGTGCTAGAACCACAGAACTCGGGAATGTCTAACACCTTCTCCCGGATTAACAGAATTCTTTACCCGGTCTTCTGTGTTCGCGGACCAAAAAATAAAGTCAATTTTCCTCGATTTGGGATTTAAAATAAACCGGTGACTTGGGACACCATATAACTATTCCAAGTGGCGACTCTGAAAATAAATAAAATAATCTCATATCGAATAATGTCACTTTAATTGGAAAAACTCCCTTATATCCCCCTTGGGTAAAAAGGAGGTGTGACATCTAGAAATTCCCTTACTCGAGACATCCTCGATCTCAACCTCTGTAAGCCATAACTGATTCACCAATATACCTCAAANTAGTAAGTTTTAAAGAAAAAACTAAGTTAGTAAAGTTTAGGTAAATAAACAATAGAAATAAACGAGACAAACGAGGGGGGGGGGGTCCAGGTTTATAAATAATATAGATCACCCCACACAACACCCGGTAATCACTTATACACGTGGTGTTATCGCGTGGTCATCATATCCATATCTACCCTTTCCCACCCCGTTAAGGTATTAAAGCGCGGAATAGTCTCGTTTTCTTATTGCATGCTATTACCCGCCCCAATCCTATCAGTCTCGGAGGCATTTAGGACTACTAATCCTAAAAGGAAGGGATGTTGGGCTTTTGTAGTTTCAAAGGTAAAAATACTAAGGCGACAAGCAAGAACAAAACAAGCATGGGGAAGCACATAAACAAATAAGGCTCAAACAGGCCTCCTTAGATCAAAGAAAAGCATATTGTTTAGCATGTCTTGCACGTACTGATTAAGGTCTGAATAAACTTAAAAGCTGGGGGGCAGGCTGATTTATCACATATTTTCAGATAAGAAGTCCAAATTAGGCTTGCCTGCTGGTCGTAATTGATAGAGACTGATGTAGTTTATAACTTTTACCCTAAGGCTTGCCTAGGTGTTAGACGGAACCTATAGGCATGATATCTACTGATTTCAGAAACAAAGAGGTAAGCTNTCGTTTACTCTTTTGAATGTATTGTGCTAATAAACTACTCTTCACAAAAAGTTTCTTATTTTCTTGATTGTATATGGAGTTGTAACAAGAAAGGGAAAGCTTTGAGATCCTTTGGTTTGGAACAAAAGATGCTAATTTGCAAAGCAGCTCTATAGTTGCCTTTGTAATTCGAGGCCCCTTTTTTGAAAGTTTATAGCAAGTGAAAGAGCCCAGAACCATGTGGGGTATTCTGTTGATATAACAAATTTTCTTTAAGCATATAGTCATATCTAAGATGTGTTGTAACTTAAATCAGGGACTGTTAACTAATGAACTGATTTTTGTATAGAATTAGTATGGAGTATATTGTAATAATATTTTAAAGTTGATAGCTATGGTCAATAGTTGTGGTTTATAGTATCTTAATGAAGTTTATGTTCAGTAATCCATTGTTATAAACAACATGTTCTCTCAGATTAGTCGAATGGGGACCATATGAGATGGGCCAGACTTGTAACTTGGCCCAATCGGGGAATTACCTGACCAAGTCTGGACTCAGGCAGCTGGGCCTGGGTGCTAAGCCCAAAAGCTTGGCCCCAACTATGGGGTTATTGTCTGAAATGAACATAATCCTAATTTTTACTTAGAATGTTAAAATCATAGTAGTATAGTTAATTTTTAAACTTGAATGCAATAATTTTTTCTGATTTTACCCTCGTGTGAACCAAATCCGGACTTGAACAATGCATGTTGGGCAATTTTCTTTTGTTGCTAAAAACAGAACCACGACCGGCCCATTCAATTGAGAGTCACAACTGGGCATGAAATAATCATTTGGGCCCATCTCTCATGTTTTTAAGTCTATAACCATTAATGCTAGATTATCCTAAAGTAGTTGAATTTTTATATCCTAATACGCTGATGTGGACTCTTTACAGCAGTCAAACTAACTTAGAAAAATTTGAACATCGTAGTTTGCTTTAGGCGCGTACTAATAAATTATCGTGACTATGGGTACGGTTCCCGTAATATAGTTATGATACATAATTCCTCAAATTTGGGTACACATTTCATGTGACCCGACTACAACTTCAAACAATAATAAAATATACATGTTGTAGATTGTGGGTACGGTTCCTGTGACATGATTTGCAATATGTACAAAAATAAACAAGTGTACGACAATCGTAACTGGTTCCAGAAACAACTCCATAAATAATTAAAAGCGGTATAAAATTAAAAATGCACAATAGGTTTAAAACATGTAATAGATCAGATAATTAGGCCAATTATTAATAGCTAAGCGACCGTGCTAGAACCACAGAACTCGGGAATGTCTAACACCTTCTCCCGGATTAACAGAATTCTTTACCCGGTCTTCTGTGTTCGCGGACCAAAAAATAAAGTCAATTTTCCTCGATTTGGGATTTAAAATAAACCGGTGACTTGGGACACCATATAACTATTCCAAGTGGCGACTCTGA